AAGTTTTTCATATTATCATTAAAATTTAAGTATATAGAAATAAACCCATGTGAAGCATAAAGGCTACAACTGTCGTTCCGAAGCTATATATCGGGCGGATGCGCGCACGCAGCTGTAGTATCGACGCAAACGCGCGCCAGACGCGTTCAGTGTCTGTGAATATGTGTATGTGCTAGGCAGACCGGAAATATGGTGAGCTTTTTACGTTTTAGTTACAAAGTTTTTTAAAATATGTGCGATTGTGTTTTTAACGGGCAAAGATGTGATTTTGGATTCTATATTTAAATTTAAAGGATTTTATATTTTATAAGATCAGATTACAATTATTTCAAAAGAAAAACAAAAGAAATTTGTTAACTAAAACACCAATTTAAATAAAAACGTTTTTCAAAATATATTTTCAATTTTCTTTTTGCTTTTCCAAAGGATTTCTTTAATAAGTTAAATAGTTTTTTATTTAAATTTTAGTTACAGTAACTACATTTTATTTATAATAATATAAACACAGAACTAATAAAAAAATAAAAAAATCGAAACAAAATAAATTTGAAATCCAAAAAATATGTGTATAACATAAATATTAAAGGCGCCTAGACAAACTGTGATGCGCCCGCGCCGGTGCAAGGATGATGCAATGCTGAAGGCCGCCAAGCAAAGGTTACAGCGAACGGTGACAAATTTGTCCAACGCTCTTTGGATTGCTACTATAACTTCTTCACTATATTGCTTATTTATTACACAATATTTGATTTTATTCAACTGCCTCCGTGACCGACTTGTTACCATACTCGACTGCCACGGAGAGATTTCGTATTCGATTCCGGGAGAATTTTGTTTTCAAGTGACGGGAAAACAAGTCGTGCGCCTGGTGTCGCTTAGACACGGCTGTCCATAACAGTTGCAGTGCCATTCAGAGCTTTTAATTGCAAAAATCTGAGGGGCACTGCCACTGCGCCTGTAACCCTGAGACATAAGTTGACAAGTCCCATGTGCCCTTACCCTTAACTTTCAAATTGGACCCAGTAATGATCATAGTACTGTTTGGCGGCAGAAATGGGTATGATGGCAGTACTTCCCTGGACGAGCTCTTTCACAAGAAGCTTTATTGCTAAAATATTTACTAAAATTTGTATGGCGTACATTCATTTCTCTCGTGCGTTTGGGTGTTATTTGTGATTGTCTATTTGCGCGCCCATGGCACACACGACACAGGGTTTCCCTAGTGCGAGGCAATATGTGTATTTTTTTTGCTTTACTGTCGAAAGGCATCTTTATCCCCGTTTTCCTTAATAATATTGTTGAAACGCACTAATTCTTATCTTTCATTACATAAGAAGCACTAAAGGTATGTTAGATTTTCAGTCCGTGGTACATCAATACTAAAGCTATTGGGCGAAACAAGATAGCTTTAAAGATAGAAGAGAGAAGTTTGAAACTATAGCGAAACTTAAAAGCTTCTGCGTACTTGGATGACAAAAATCCATGGTAGTGAACCGTTTAACTCTTGCAAGTCGTCTCGATCTATGTATGACACTTGAAAAAAATATTGTAAATGATAAATAATAATAATAATAACGCACACACTCAAGGTAGCCCCGCTCTAGGGAAACCCTGTGTCACGGGCGCCATGGACACACACATAGACAACCACAAATTACACCGAATCTCACGAGAGAAATAAATACAGGCCATACAAATATATTTAAATGTATACAAATATTTATAATTTATAAGACCAATGTATGTGAATATTTTTTTTACAATACGATTGCTATAGTGGTAGCCTAGTGGGAACTAAATTTATCAAGCCTTAATTATTATGTAAACTTGGTGTAATAAAACCATATGTAATCGTATGTTAAAAAGCGCTTTTATCACATGAAAGTCATAAAAATAACATGAACTATATAAAACAACAGTGGTGACATATGAAACAGATGAAATTTTATAAAAATATATCGACGAATTTTATCCGTAGAATCTTTAAATATCTTTTCTGAAAAGTTATTTCTATGCGACAAAGTTGACACTCCACTTCTCTTTCGGTATTACAAAGCACGATCTGTGGCCAATCAGTGGCATACTTTTTATTTTTAACATATTTGTCAACGTTGTGTAACAGTCATGGAGGATGACTGACCGCCACAAAACCGATTTTTTAACCGACTCTAAAAAAGGAGGAGTTTCTCAATTAGACTCTTTTTTTGTGTATGTTGCGTTCTTTTTGTTGGAAAGATACGATTCAATCACAATCACACGAACTTTTGAGATCGGTTTTCTGTTATAAAAAAAGTTATAATTATTATAATACCAAGTGACGGAAAAAACAAGTCGTGCACCTGGTGGCACGCGACACGCCTATCCATAACAGTTGCAGTGTCGCTCAGAAATTTAAATCACAGAGATCTGAGGGGTACTGCCACTGCGCCCGTCACCCTGAGACATAAGTCGAAAAGTCTTATGTGCCTGTAATTTCACCAGCACTCTTACCCTTCGAAGCCGAAACGCAGTAATGGTTACAAATAAGTAAGGCAGCAGTACTTCTCTGGACGAACTGTTTCATAAGCTCTACTGCTGCTTATAACTACACCTTGTTTAGTTTTAGTTAACTAAAACTCAAACAATCTTTATTGCATACATAAGCAAATTAGGTTGCTCCTTATATATGTCTATCATTTACAATATTTATTTCAAATGTCTCTCTCGCTCGCAATGCTAAATGGGTCACTACCATGGATTTTTGTCATCCATATACGCAGAAGCTTTTAAGTTTCAACTATAGTTTCAAACCTATCTCTTTTATCATTACAGCTATCTTGTTTTGTCCAATAACTTTAGTATTGTTGTACCATAGACTAAAAATTTATCATTTAGAGGTTCTTATGTAACGAGAGATAAGGACAATTGCGTTTCAATAATGCAGAGTACGTTAAGCTTTTGACACTTTGAACTTTGCACCGGTTCTTATCCCAAGTACCAAGCTTAAAGTGCTCTTGATCTTATACATGATGGCAAAAGGAACTTTTATTGTATAATCTCAGTACAGAGTACCAAAAAACAGTACGTGGAATTACATCTATTTGCCAAGTTTCTTTGAAATCGGTTGCCCTTATTTTGCCATCCTAGAAGGTGTAATATTTTCTCCAAATTTATATGGGATCACTCCTGAATTACCTTCATTCCAACAAAAAAAGAATCATCAAAATCACTTCACAAATGAGTCACCACGTAACATATATACAAATAAAAGCAGTCGGCTCGAGAACCTCCTCCTTTTTTAAAGCCGGTTAAAACATATACATTAAGAGATTGTACGTATATAATAATTGGTCACAGCATTGAAGAATGCTGTTCGATATTGATTACCAGGTGGTTATGTATAGTCACGGGTCTATAATGAGTGGATCTAGCCGAGATACTGTCTTTACGTATACGTATATCATTTATTTATTTGTTAGTGTTAACAACAGAACAATGTCAATTAAGTTCTTCTTATCACGCAAAAAAACGAAATGTGTTAACTGTGCAAACACCATTATATTATCACACTACTTAATAAATAAAACAAAATTAGACTTCAATGTTGACACGATGTTTTCCTTCCTCGAAAATCTAATGGTAAATTTCGCACCGAGGTGCAAGCCCGGAAGCGAACCCACGACCCTCTGATTGAGAGGCGATAGGTCAAATCATTAGGCTATCACGACGTCTTATCTATCTCTACTTAATTCAAATAACTGTTTAGTATGAAAGGTTATAAAAGTTTACTAAAAGAAAAATAGCATTACAAATTAGTCGATTACCTAATGAAGCGTCTTCATATTGTTACATTATAATTTTGCAACAAATTTAGTGCAATAAACATATTCGATTCTCGATTGACGGGGTTATTCGGGTCGACAAAAGCAAACCTCTTCTGTATCTTATTTGTTTTTTCCATCTATATTGTTCAATAGAGCAGGCTATTATGATAATGAAGCAATAAACATCTGTGTGTAGAATGTAGTAACTAGTTTAGTTCTTCTGAATTTCTTTAGACATGTTTAAAAATCGATCTGCGTAGAAAATTGCATGAACATCGATGTTTGTTTAGTTGATTTTTCTTTATGATCTCACATAACAGCGACACCCTTGTTCAAAACAGTTGCAGTGCTGCTCCGAACTTTAAAATCGCAAAGGCCTCAGGCACTGCCACAACGCCCGTCACCCTGAGACGTAAGTTGACAACTCCCGTTCGTAAAGCGCACATTACGATGAGATGTACCGATATTGCATTTTAATATACAACGTCGAGGGACATCATAATCGTCACTTATAAAAACGATAGCAAAATTACACTCCAATTTCTTAACAAAAAATCTTCTAGGCTTCAAGAGTCATTAATCATTATGACGGCCTCCGTGGTCAAGTGGCTTGTACACCGGTTTTCCCGGCCGGGTCAGTGTGGAAATAGTACATTATTGCAGAGGCCGGGAAGTAAGGGATTGCTGGGCGAGTATGAGTTACAAGGACGAGCGTCATCGAGGCCTTGTATTAATACGAATCATGTATAGGCCGCCACAAAGAGGATAGGCACTTTGAGGCGGCGTGCTTGGATTAACTCCGGATTCTTTAGAACGGGCCGATACGTATAATTTCTCGTTTAAATCTTCGATTAAGGCACAATAGCACTATCCTATTCCACTTTAAACTAGATTTCACAAAATAATTAAGTCAAAATAAAAACGACACTTTTCCCTCCAAAACTAAACTTTTCCGCCCTTTTCTTTTGTTTCAAGTAAGCGGTACAGTTAGGTATTTTTAATTTTCGTAGTTATGAACACTGGGCAGTTGGCTGTGTGAGTTTTTCTTTTGCCTGGTTACATAGTTCATTATTATTAGGTAGATTTAAAAGTTTAGAGAAGAGGACAATAATGGATTTTCATACTTTGCAGGCCTTGGCCGGGAAGAAGTCGCGTGGTTCATAAATGACAAACTTTTCGTATTCGTTTTTTGAAAGTAATGCAAACATTTCCGAGCATATTTGAGAAAACTAACTTTTCTATATTGTCTCGGGTCTGGGTGTTTCTGGTAACGTCGTTGTTGCCGATTTCCATAACACAAGTGGTTTAGCTACTTACTTTGGGATCACAGCAACGTATATGATGTTGTCTAATATTTATTTATTATTATTATCCAATAAAATGTGTTTC